AATAATAATAATAATAATAATAATAATGAATACATATTAATATGTATATTTTAGGCTAGCACAGTTGCCGTGTGTCATTGTCAATGGCATAAACAAGAGTGCCGCGTACGAGATAGGCAGACCCGTGGACAAACGCCGCATGGCCGCCCAGTGGAACGCCGTATACGTGGACGGAGAATGGCGTTTAATGGACGTCTTCTGGGCGTCTTCTTGTGTTGTCGGTCGGACGTCCAAGGAGTGGACTCTTCTAGACATAGACGGTAAAATTGTCAGCGATGATAGCGATGATTACGAGGAGGGCGACGAAGAAGGAGAAACTCATCATCGAATAAACGAATTTTTCTTCATGCCAGATCCAGATCAATTTATATTTACTCATTTCCCCAATGATCAAAAATGGCAATTGCTTGAAAAGCCTCTCACTGTTGATGAATTCGGCCAAGGTATGTATGTTAGGGAGATGTTCTGGAATCTTGGACTGAAACAAACTCCTAACAGCCACAAGACCTGTTTGGTGAAGTCAAACAATGGTGAAATAGATATTCCCTTTGAACTCCCTGCATTGGATGCCATAAATGTAAAGTTTAGGTACATGTTGTATCGCAAGGCTGGAGGCCCTGTGACAGGGGGACAAATGGACCGATTTGTGTTTTACACGCGTCAAGGAAATACTCTGAACTACAATATCAGGTTCCCCGTGGCAGGTACCTTCAGGTTGAATGTATTTGGCCAGGACATTACTAAACATGATAGCCTGGAATTGTGTTGTGCCTACGTAATCGAATGCCCGGAACCCAAACGCGATGTGGAACCGCTTCCTGATAACCCAGTCATTGGTTGGGGACCAGGCGCCGAGACCGAGGACGCAGGCATGACTCCACTAACACATGACTGCGGGCTTGTCGAGACGGAAGATGGATGTGTTGAAATGAAATTCAGGCTGAAAAAAGATGTGTCCCTGCTCCAAAGTCTGCTGAGTAACAAAATGGACGAGAAAGTCTTGGAAAATTTTGTGATCAGTCGCGTTGAAAATGGTGAGGCCTTCGTCACAGTGCGCCTACCGAAGAAAGGTGAATACGCACTGAAACTGTTCGCAAATGATCGGAACGACGAAGGAGATATTCCGAACGTCTGCAACTACCTCATACGCTGCTTAAACGACAAAGTGAAAAACGAACCTTATCCACATGTTCATAACGGAGCTTTGGGGAAAGGGAACTTCGCAAGCAAACTGGGCGTCGTGCCTCTAAATTATCCTGGAGGACTCATAGAAACCGACGACGGTCAGTGCACACCTCAGTTCCGAGCACCCAAAGGAGTTGAACTTTTCTGTGAAATTCACTCGGCCGGTTTAGATGATAGTGTCTTTAAGCATTGCCTGCGTAAGACCGGTCCAAATGCTGGAGGGGAAACGTCTTTGGAAATCATCTTACCTAAGGCTGGGGAGTGCTCCGCGAGCATTTACGCCTGCAGAACGGAAGATCCGGACCGCCTCTACAATGTCCACAACTATCTCATCATTTCAAAAGCTGACCGAAGCGACGCTGATGTCAGCAACAAGGGGCTAAATGAGAAGCCCAAAATTCCAGATGTGGACAAACCTAAGGTTACCCACAATGGTACAGTCGAAATCCGCCTGCCCAAATCATTTGAAAACCTTATGGCTGAGCTCCAAAAGAAGAACTCGATCGACCCCATTAAGACACAGCAAGTTACCCTGAGGGAGGATGGCGGGGAATACGTCGTGAGGATTGAAGTCCCGGATGAAGGAGAGTACCTGCTGACTTTGTTTGAACACACGGAAAGCGGGTCACTGTCCAATCTTGGCACATACACCGTGTACAGCGAGCCAATGGCTTCGGCTCCCGTCGTAAGTTGTATTCAGTTTAATCAGCGTCTTTTCCATTTACCTCATCGGAATAAAAATGCATTAGCTAAGCTACTTTTAGTCGAGTGGGCGAATGCTTCCTTTTTGATGCTGTTTCTATTATATGTACAATTATCAGCATGTTTACTGGATGTATATCGTAATGTATATCGTAATATGTGTGTTGATTTGTCTCCACAGATATCAGAACAGTCAGAGGAGCCGCCTCCTGTCACAAATCAAATGTCAGCAGAAGAAAAGAAGAAATTAGAGGAGGAGAGAAAACTGGGTATGTTTCATTTTCTTGTGAACGTGCTTTTTTTGCACCATCACATCTCTCTCGTCAACCTACAATTGCTGCAAACCTTCATTTTGGCTGTCATGTTTTTCTTTAATTATGATTAAGTCAATTATCCAATATATCCTAATATCAGTGTAATTATTTTAATTCACCGTGGCTTTTCTTTTCAGTTATTTTGATTCTTGGTAAATTTTGTCTTGAAATTTTTCAAAAACAATAAAAATAAAGAAGTAATTCTTATTCTTCAATCAGTAGCTAATATTGGAATTGTTCACCTCCAATATTTCGATGTCTGTCTAGAGCATGTTCATCAGGAAATAAGATTTACCATCATCAGGAAGTATATATTCTGGATAGAGGCTAATAACACGAGTAGACTCTTTTCCCGATGATACTCTAGACAGAGGCCGAAATATTGGAGGTTAACTATTTCAGTATTAGTTGTTTATTGACAAACAAATTACTTTTTTATTCTTGAAACATAATGATTCCTCTCTGATTTATTGACAATGGATTTTATTGAACTTATATGCACGTGCATGTAGTACGTTTTTAGATTTTGATGACCTATTTTTTCCTAATTTGAGTGTTCCGACTAATAATCTTTCATCTCACTAACATTTTTCTTTGAATTTTTTTTATTAATTTTACTGCGTCTTTTTATGCATATGCCCTCATTCCACAAATCGCTTAAGTAGCTAACGAGGAATTGCACTGTGTTCGTAACGATGACCCAGAAATTGAAACTATTCCCCGGGATTTTCTTTTTCCCTTGCATATTAACATTCTTTCTGCTTTTCCCTCAGCACAACTTTTAATTGCATTGATTTATATTCACTTTCACCGTCAAATTAAACCAAACTAGCTTATCAACGGTACCGTTGTTGTCAAGATCATCAGAGATGGTAAACCACAGCTTACAGTCTAAGCGTACATTAATCACAACTTTAAAAAAAATCAGTTTAACAAGTTTGTTTCATAAAATGATGAAGTTTTCATAACAACATACAGTATTTTAAATATCTTTTTTATAATGTCTCCTTTATTCATTCAGCCGAAAAGCGGCGAATGTTGAATAGCAAGCTGAAGTTAGCCATGGAATCCAAAGATCCTAACGAACTTGCCGTAGCTATCAAAGAATTCGAGGATAGTGGTTTCCCTGATAATAAGAATAACCTGGAAAAGGCAAAGAAAATGCTGATGCTGCTGAAGGCGAAATCGGGTGAGTGTTTTAGATGCTGCATCATTTCTCCGTATTTTGACTGCAAAGCTACGTTACTCATTAACTTGATTTGCAGCTACAAATATATGTTCTTTTGAGTGTTTTACCTTGAATCTTCCTGTACTAATACAGCAGTAGAATTACTAAGCGTTTAGAAAATACATTTTTGTACGGAATGTGGCTAAAATTAAATTAAATAAATCAATAAAATTACATGTAGAATAAAATCAAAGTCGAGTTTGAACATAGTAAATGCGTTTAGCGAAAGGGTGATGTAAGCACGGGGTATTGGTGGTAGGGTAGATGCTGTATCTGGCTGTTCATAGGTACTAAGATTGAATCACATCGAGTAGGCCTACAACCAATAAATACATACTGAAAATATAAGTATATTAATAAATAGGTAGGTAAATGAATGAGAATAGAATAATTTTGTTCACTTTTGCTCATTTGCAGATCTTGTGACAGCAATGTCTGTTCGTGAGGTGGATGTGTTAGAGAGGGCCATAGAAGCTGGAGAGGCTGCCAACTACAACAAGAGCCTTAACCTTGAGCTTGCTTACGCCAAACGTGTCCTAGAACACCTAAGACACATTGAAAAACTGCGCCATGATATCCTGAATTTGGACCAAAAGACCATAGCTGAGATACGGAGTTATTCCAATCCGCCGGATGCTGTTCATCAAGTTATGGTGGCATCGTACCTTTTGCTTGGGTTAACAGAAGACCAAGTGAAGGTAAGTGATTTACTGTGATTTATAAATGTTTCTTATCTGTGAGGATATCTTTGAGAAAATGCTTTACATGAAGATTAAAAAGACATTTAATTTCAATGTTGCTTTAGTCTTTTTTCAATTGCTAAAATGTGAAAAAACTAAGGTTTAAATTTTAGACACTTAGTGTGGAATGTAATTAACGATAGTCCCCAAATTGATCTTTTCTATAGGAATGGCGGTCCGTACAAGCGTTTATGGGCAAAACTGGTAAAGAAAGCTTGAAACGGATGGTTTCTCAGTTTAACGTTGAGAAACTTGCAGTAGATGTAGCCCTTCGAGCCAAGCAGATCCTGGCCAGATTCAGCAAAGATAAAGTACACGATGTGAGCGCTGGGGCGGCCACATTTTATGTCTGGGTGCGTTTTTATCACAGAGTCCCACAATGTTCTATTAGTAAAAAACTGACTGTTATCTACACTTACAACTGATTATTATTCTGTTATACTTTACCAAGTCATGTAAATCGCATGTTTGAGAAACAGTAGAAGTTGCGCAATATTGGTTAGTTTCTTTTTAAAATACGGATTACATTGAAATGATGTTTATTACAGGCTCAGGGAATGATTGCCGAATGCGAATCTCGTTTTACCGAAAGGCGGTGATTTGAGCACAGTTCGACCAAAAACTGCCAGAGGGAAATCTGCCTTTGGTGAACGCAAACCCGAGGATTCGCCCACACAAGGATGGGCATAACAATATAACACAAGATAAGGGCGTAAAAGCAGAGATAACAGTATTGTGCTCAGGTTTATATTTGAAAAAGGGATTTGAACCCCTTACGTGTGTATTAAGAGAAGTTAAGTTCGCTTAATGCCTTTTCGTATTCAAACATTTGCTTACTGGAGGCAAGCACCTGTATTGTATAGTATATGTATCAGCGTAAATGTGTGGCCAAAGGATTCTTTATTTCCTATTTTGTACGGTAAGTTTGTATCACATACTTTAAAAAAACAATCGCATTGTAAATATTTTGCTCTGGCTTTATGTATTTAAAAAACAGTTTTATCCGAGGGCTTATTTCCTGCAAGATGCAAGTCCGTCGAAGTCATGCTGTGATATTGTTCCGACCGTCCGTGCTGCGCTTTAAAAGAAATACTTCAGTTGCAAAGCAACAACAAAAGAACAACTTGGCTTCGTTCATTGTATTAATTAAAGCAAATTCGCAGATATTGTGACTTTTATGTTAGTCTTGGATTATTTTGTTACATTTTTATTTCACATGAACTCCTTTAAAGGAATTAAGATTGATGTTAAAATATTGTTGGCATGACCGTACCCAGGTTAAGGCTCACGAGACATCCCCAGAGTAAAAGTAACTTTTAACTCCTTAAACGTGTATCAGCTGTACCTTTTTCACTTTGGTGGAGTTAGCTTCTCATCTAGGATATTGACTCGACTCGTAGAACGAAGTCAGTAAATGATGTCACAGGCAACCCGTATATAGGCCATAGGTCTGAATCCGCATGTTTATTAGGCTTCGTTCACATGCAATGTCTATTTTCTAAATTCTATTTTCTATTTGCGCTTATAGTAACTTATAGTAACTGGCTCGCGCTGCCAGTAATTACGCGGCGGGATATCCAGGGCACAGACCGTGATCATAAGACATGCCGCAAATAGAAAATAGAATTTAGAAAATAGACATTGCATGTGAACGAAGCCTTAGTCTACGGAATAAAACACATTTAATGTGATAAATACACCGAGTTTTCGTTTCGTTTATTATACAACCAGTACTTAAATCTTTGTTAATGAAAGGCCTTTTTACAATCTTCGGAGAAGCAGTGACTGGGATGTGCTTAAATTTTCATCGTATGGCGTGGCGTTTGCACCCTGAGCTTCAGAGATAACTTGACACTAACCTCTTCACTATAGCCTATCTTCATCGTGTCAAGTTACCTCTGAC